GTGGGTGCAGGGAGGCAGCCCTGGCCAGCAGCAGCACCAGGCTTTGCCCCGCAGGTTGAGGTGGGGGGGTCTCATGCTGGCAGCTGTGTGGCTCCCTGGCATCCCCCCCCTCACGTACGCAGAGCATTCAGCCACCCCTTGTGCAAAGCCCTACTGTGTTTTAGTTATTTTTTTATCTCCTCGGTTTGAAGAGTTGTTTAGCAATAATTCTAATAAATGCAAATTCTTTAGCTGCTGGCTGCCTCCTGCGGCCGGCATCCCCCCATGCTCGCACCCCGAGAGCCATGCCACCACCACGTGCCATGGGCCGGTGAGGTGTTTAATGGCTGCTGGCACCACGAGGCAGGAGGTACATGAATCAGTGCGGGATGGGCCCCCTTCCCGGTCCTACACATCCCTGCTAGAAAGGCTTTAAAAACACTCGTAAGAAAACCGCTTATAAAAATTATTCAACTGTTCCTGAGCTGTGTCGGTGAGCTGGAAGCGGCGCTGGGTCCCCGTCCACCCGGGTGACTGCGGGGCTGGGCGGCCCCCCTTGCCCCCCTACTGCTTGCCCAGGGCCTTGTCCAGGTTGTTCTTGATGGCGTCCAGGAAGTCGGTGGTGTTCACAAAGTGCTCGTTGAGCTTCACACTGCGGGGACACAGAGAGGGGCTGGAGGGGTCCCGCAGCCAGGGGGGAGTCCCTGCCCACCCCCCACCGCAGACAGCCCGGCTGGGAGGGGCAGAGCCGGGGTGGGCAGCACAGCCTGGCCGCAGGCATGGCCCGACCCTGCAGGCTGTAAATAGATGCCCTGAGTCCCCAGGGACCATCTGGAGGCCAGCAGCCACCCCACATGGCCAGCCTGCCTTCGTGGCAGGCGGCTGCCCCACACCGCTCCGCCCCGTGAGCCACACGTACTTGGCGAGACCGTGGATGCAGCCGGCGAGGTCCTTCGTCATCGTCCCGCTCTCCACGGTTTCGACGCAGACCTTCTCCAGCGTCTGAGCAAACCTGGGGATGGCAGCATGACACACAGCTCCGCTGAAGCCAGCACCCCTCTGCCGTGGACCCCACCATGGCTGGGACCGGGATGGTTGGCACCAGGGTGGCTGCTGGCAGCGTCCCCCACCCCGGGGTGCCCCCACACCACCCTGCTTACTTGATCAGGTCCGGGTTACTGTCCAGCTTGCCCCGGTGCTCCAGGCCACGCGTCCAGGCAAAGATGCTGGCGATGGGGTTCGTGCTGGTGGGTCGCCCCTGTGTGGAGAGCATGCTCAGCAGCCCGGCATGGGCAGCATGCCACAGGCAAGCCAGTGCAGGCAGCTCGCTGCAGGCAGAGCGCACCCACCTTCTGGTGCTCCCGGTAGTGGCGGGTGACAGTGCCATGGGCTGCCTCGGCCTCAATGGTCTTCCCATCCGGACACACCAGGACAGAGGTCATCAGCCCCAGTGAGCCAAAGCCTGCGGCAGGACGGGGGTCAGGGTGGCTCCAGAAGGGCGACCACACACAGCCCACCCCATGCCGCCCCACACCACCCCAACCTGTCCTACACCACCTCCTCCCACTGCTTCACCTTGGGCCAGGATGTCTGATTGGACATCCCCGTCGTAGTTCTTGCACGCCCAGACAAATCCTCCGGAGGACTTCAGCACCTGGGCAACCATGTCGTCGATAAGCCGGTGCTCGTACCAGATCTTCAGCTTGTCGAACTCTGTCTTATAGTGCCTAGGAGCCCAGGGCAGGCGTCAGCCATGCCTGGCCGTGCCCACCCCAGGCTGGGTCCCACAGCCAAGCCCTGGGCAACAGCCCCCTCCTCGGAGCAGTCAGCCCCCTCGGGACAGCTCTCGCCCCTCAGCAGCCTGAGCTCCTCCAAGTCCGTACTTATCAAAGATCTCCTGGAAGATGTCTTTGAAGCGCCCGTCGTAGGCCTTGAGGATGGTGTTCTTGGTGCTCATGTAGAGAGGCCACTTCTTCTGGATGGCATACTGGAAGCAGCTGTGAGCGAAGCCCGAGATGGACTGCAAGGGAAGTGCATGGACCCCCGTGGGACCCCCGTCCCGCCAGCCTCGCCCAGGTCCACCTGGATGGCAGGGCATGCCGCTCCACAGGGACCCCACCAGCTGCCCCCATCCCACCCCGTTACCTCGTCCGTGTTGTACATGCCCATGCCCACGCCGCCGCCAGGGAAGTTGTACACCTCCCACTCCTTGGCCCCGCTGCCGTCCTTCGGTGTGAAGACCATCTTGAACGTCCCGGACTTGCCCACCACAAAGTCAGTGGCTTTGTACTGCAAGGGGCATGGCAGAGCATCACGCAGGGTCCGGCAGGAGCTGCCAGACATCCCTGTGCCGCAGGCAGCCGCCGCACGGGGCTCACCTGGTCGCCATGGGCATGCCTGCCAATGGTGATGGGCTTGGTCCAGCCGGGCACCAGGCGGGGGATGTTCTTGCAGATGATGGGCTCTCGGAAGACCGTCCCCCCCAGGATGTTTCGGATGGTGCCATTGGGGCTCTTCCACATCTTCTTCAGCTTGAACTCTGGGGTGTGCAGAGGTAAGGCTCCCGAGAGACCCCCCCCACCAGGCACAGCCCCGGCAGTCACCCCAGCCCAGCACCCAGCCCCTGCCAGCGCCCCCCCTGCTCCTCCATGCCGTGGGCTGCTGCCAGAGCCCAGCTGCTGGGCCAGCAAAGGAGAGGGACAGCTGGCACAGGCTCGTGAGTGGCACTGGGCAGAGGCCGGTCTGTCCCCAGCCCCATACCCTCAGGGTCCCCGCAGCATCCCCCGGCGGGGGGGACACCACAGTACTAAGACCAGGGCCCCCAGCCCAGGCAGCGGTGCAGCCCCCAACCCACCAGAAATCTGAGCTGGTGGGGGGGAGGCACTGCTGACTCAGAGGGGCCAGGCACACACGGGGGGCTCAGCACCCCACAGCGCTGCTGGCACCACCCCCACTGCAGTGGGAGCTCGGCCCCTCGGCCCCTGCCCACCTTCCACCCTGGCTTCATCCGGCGTGATGGTGGCACACTTCACGGCCACGCTGTACTTCTGGGTGGCCAGCGCCGAGTCAATGGTGACCTGATCATCTGTCTTATCCCGGTGTGGCAGGCCCAGGTCAAAATACTTCAGCTGGATGTCCACGTTGGGCAGGATGAGCTGGGGGTGCCGGGAGAGCGTTGGAGGGGGGACAACAGTGCGGGGTGCCCAGGGAGCAGCACCATGCATGGCGGCACAGCCAGCCCCGGCCCCCACCCCAGCCCAGCCACAGCTGCCTGCCTGGGACAGTCCCCCCTGTCTGGGATGGTCCCCCCTCCCCGGGACCTCCTCACTTCCAGGTCCTGCCGGAAGCTGCGCTGATCTCACCACCTGCTTCCTGCAGATGGACTGACAGACAGAGGACTGACGGACAGGGAGGGCAGCGCGCAGGGACTGCCTGTCCCCTCTACAACAGCCACCTGTTCCCCTGTACAGCACCCGCCAGCTCCACTTGTGCAACACCCCAGGCAGGACCCCGTTACCTTCTCCTTGATGAAGGTCCAGATAATCCGCGTCATCTCGTCTCCGTCCATCTCCACCACCGGGTTGGCCACCTTGATCCGCTTGTCAGCATCTAGGGAACGGTGGTGGGGTGTTAGGGGCGCATGCCCGGCCCCACCGGCCCCGGCCCCACAGCTCTGCACCGTGGCGTGGGGCCAGGAGTCTTCCCGCGTCCAGCAGGGTCCCAGTGCCACCCCTGCTCTGGGCCGGGTGCAAGTCAAGGTGCAAACCCCGCTTGGGTGCAGGTTGAGGCACAAACCCTAGTGGGGTCTGGGCCAGTTCATGGTACCAACCCTGCCTGGGGCTGAGCTTGGGTGCAGGTCAGGGTGCAAAACCCCACGTGGGAGCAGGACTGGGACCAGGTGCACAGCCTTCTCAGGGCAGGACCTGGGTGCAAGCTGGGGTGCAAATCCCTGTGTGGGACCTGGACCGGGAGTAAACCCCTCTGGGTGCCAAGCCTGGCTGTGGGTCGGGCTACGAAACCCTATGTGGGGCCGGGACTAGGACCGGGACCAGAGGCAAACCCCTCTGGGGAGGGACCTGGGTGCAGCTGGGCTGCAAAACTCTACGTAGGACTGGGACCGGGACCAGGAGCAAACCCTTCTGGGGGCCAAGCCAGGCTGCAGAACTCCACGTGGGACCGGGACCAGAAATGATCCCTTCTGGGGGCCAAACCTGGCTGCAGATTGGGTGGCAAAACCCCGCATGTGACTGGGACCAGGAACAAACTCCTCCAGGGTCAAAGCGGGTACAAGCTGGGGTGCAAAACTCCACGTGGAACCAGGACCGAGAGCAAACCCTCGGGGACCAGACCCGAGTGTAAAACCTCGCGTGGGTCCGTGACCGGTAGCAAACCCAGCCCCATCCCGGAACCGGCTGTAAGCAGGGGGTACAGTTCTGTTTCAACCCCCCCCCCCCCCCCCAAAAAAAAAATCCGAGCTGGCCCAGCGTGCAAACCCCTCCGTGGGCCGGGACTGGTGCAAACCCCACTCGGGGCAGAAGCAGCCGCCCTCTCCGTACCGAAGGACACGAGGTCTTGCCCCCCCGCCCCCCCAAGGTCACCCCCCACTCACAGTGTCGGCGCTGCCCCACGGAGGCGGCAGGGAGGGGGCAGCGGGCCAAGCGGCTCAGCGCCGGGGCGGCGCGGAGGTAGCGGGCGGCCATGGCGGGGTGCGACGGGGCGGACGCGACGGGGGCGGTGGAGCGGGGACGCGGTTCGCTCCGCCCCGGGGCGGTGCATGCCCGCCCCCCCCCCGGGGGGGCCCCCGCGGGGTCCCACGAGAGGGGGGACCCCGGGCCATTGCTTCACACCCCCCCCCCAGTCAGGCAGCACACCCCATCTGCAAAACACCCACGGGGGATGATGCCCTTCGCGGGTGGGGGGTGTACATGGCGGGAGGGTGCCCCCCCCCGGGGTGGGTGAGATGCCACTTGCTGGGTACAAGCGGTGCCAAAGCACAAGGTGACCGGCGAGCGCGGGGATCGGCTTTCACTGGGGTCCTTGGGATGAGGTGGCAAGGGCGGGCAGTCAAGCTGTTCCCCCCCACCACTGTGTGCATCCCCCCCCACACACACCGGTTCTGCTTGGTGTGGGTTGCAAGGAGCAGGTGGGTTTGCTGTGGTCCCCGTTCCTAGCAAAGGGACGTGGCCCACCCGGGCACGTCAGGGTCGGGGACACGCTGCCCGCCGAGCCCAGGGCTTGGAGCCAGCTCAGGCTTTCCCTACATAGAAGTGAGCGATCCTACACACTGCCAGCGCGTGACTCGGGGCAGCTGGACCCAGCGGGACAGGCGGCTGCGGGGAAGGGCAGCTGCCGCCATTTTCCGGGGCACCTTCGCCTCGCCTGACCCCGGCATGGCGAGGAGGGGGGTGATGCACCCCAGGGGCTCCCTGAGAACATCCACGGGAGCCAGGAGGTGTGCTGGGACGGCCAGGAGGCTGCTCAGCCCAGGGGGTTTGCTGTCCCTCTGCACGGGCCAAGCCGATGGCTTTTTTTAGCCACAGGGGACAGGCAGATCCTGCTCTGGGAGGAAAAACAGTCCTGCTGGAGCTGCCGGCCCCAGGCAGAGGGGCTGGGGGGGAGGCAGAGCCAGGCGCACTGACGTCTGCCTGGCTTTAACATTAACCAGAGCAGACGTCTGTGGGGCTGCCAGCCAGGGGGGGCCGGCACCCACCGCCCCAGGGCAATGCTGGGGTCTTGGGCGTTCCCGCTCCCACTGCCCTCTGCCCTCGCTGTGGCACCCTGTCCAGCCAGCAGCCCTGCAGCCGCATGGCCAGTGCTGCTGGGGCTGCCCCACAGCAGGGCAGTGGGCGGTGTTGCCCCCCCAGCACAGGGCCCGGGGGGGCCACCCAGCTGCGCCCGGCCACAGCGCTGCCCCCCCCAGCTGCCCTCTTCCTGGCCCCGCGGTCAGAGCCACCCAGTGACCACGGCTCTTGCAGGGACGAGGTCACGCCAGCGCGGCGGCCATCCCCCCACGGAGCATGGGCTCCACCGGCGCTGATGAGAGCAGCCATGTGGCACCGTCCCAGGGAAGGGCTGCCTTCAAACAAAGAAGTCCATCCCTGGCCGGAGCCCAATCCACACGCCCCAGGCTGCTGCCAAACCAGCTTCCCCCAAGCGTGCCTGGCCCTGGGAGGGTCCCTGGGGACTGGCAGGGCTGGCTGCAGAGGGTCTGGGCCTCCAGGGAGTGACGTGTCCTGCGAGGGCTCTGGCCCCAGCAGGTTGGGGGCACCAAGAGCCAGAGAATGAGCAAGGACCTGGAGAGGGGGTGGTCTGTCCACACTTGTAGGCAGCCCCGTGTCTGCTCGTGGGAGGGGGGCAACAGGGAGGCCGAGGGGAGGCCATGTGCCCTGCGGGGCAATGCACTCTGTTTCCTTGTGCAAGCAGTGCTGTCCCCAAATGTGGGCCTCCCTCACTGGCACTGCTCTGAGCTGCTGGGCTGCAGGCTGGGTGGCAGGGCCTGCGGCCCCCCGTTCGACAGCAGTCTGCATCCCCCAGGGCTGCCGGGCAGCAGTGTGGGCCAGGGATGACACGGACTGTGGGGCAGGGCAAAGCCTCCTACCAGTGACCCTGCACAGCACACCCTCCCCACGCCTCCCCAGGCCCAGGAGTGCACAGAGCAGGCAGCTGCCTGCAGCAGAGCCTCTGCACGTGCCAATGGCATGGCCAAGTGCTGCCTGTGCTGCACGAGGCGAGGTGGCACAGCTGCTCCAGGGACACGGTGCAACGTCAGGTGGAGCAGCCAGGCTGCCAAGGGTCTCGGTGGCCCAGGCAGGCAGATGGCAGCGCTCGGCCACGGGAGAAGGGATGGAAACTGCACGCTGCATGGCCAGGCTGGAAGGACACTTTGGGAATGGGGGTGTGGGGCCACAGCTGGCTGGCCCCGAGCCCCCTGCTTGGCCCAGCGCTGGCCAGCAGGTCAGTGCCCATGACACTGGCTCTGGGGGAAGGCTGGCACTGCTGCCACAGCTGTGCTGGCAGCTCTGCTCTGGGGCTGGGGGGGCTCCGCCTGCTGGACCCACACGCTGGAGCACAGCTGTGCGTCCTGCCCAGCTCAGCCCCGTCACACCCCCACAGCACAGTCCCTTGCCCTGCTCACCCCTCTGCATGGCTGCCTCCCACCCTGCCCACCCTGGGCCGGAGCACTGGCCAGCCCCTCCCAGGGCCATCGGCTCCTGCTGCCCAGCTCCTCCGGCACCCCAGGAGAGCGACGCGCCCACCCAGGCTCTCTGCAGACCCTGGCAGCTATGCGCACCACTGATGCCTGGCCAGCAGCCTCCAGCTTCAAGCATGTCACCGTAGGGACACCTGGAGCCATGGGCTACCCCAAACCACAGGGAGCTGAGCGTCACCACGAGATGCCGAGCCATGAGCTACCCCAAAATGCCTGGAGCCGGGTGTCACCACGAGGACCTCATGGTGACGCCTGGAGCCACGTGCACATGCACTGGGTGTCCCCGCAGCCGCTGCGCAGCAAGGACACCTCTGCTGCTGGGGCTGCCGCCCCCCTGCCCTGCAAGACCCCCCTCCCTGCAGGCTCCCACACGGGAAGGGCCCCCGGCACGGCAAATGCTGCTGCCCCCCAAAGCCATGCTCCCTGCCAGCTCCCGGGCACTGCTGGGGCCCTCACTGCACTGCGGGTGGCAGGGGGGCAGGTGGCCAGCCTTGCCTGGGGGGACCAGCATCCTCCCGTGGATGGGCCAGCACCAGCCCGGGGCCGGCATCACCCCGGCCGGCCCCTCGCCGGGCCGCCCCCTCCCCCGGCGCTGAGCCAGGGCCCCCCCCCAGCTCCCGCACCCCAGAACTGGGACTGACCGCCCCCC